CTCTCTCTCTCTCTCTCTCTCTCTCTCTCTCTCTCTCTCTCTCTCTCTCTCTCTCTCTCCCTCTCTGTATCTATATTTTTCCTGCCTCGTTTTCCTACTCTACTATGTAGTGCCGATGGTTAGTGATTGCGAAGGTTCAGCGCCATCGCGATTTCAAGTTGAACACCACTTCTGAAGTGAAATGGCGCCGGAATCGCAAGGGCTTGATGAATAAAGAGGTGAGAATGGTAATAAGCAAAGAATCTATGGAACTTGACCACGGAACTCGTGGCAACGCGGCAGGCCACGGAGATTTTGGTTCAATTTGCGCATGCTAGAAAAATTCAGCCAAGTAATAAGCATAATTCAATTATAGCAACCCAATGGTCATAGACTGCCTAGAGCGAGCAAGCAGAGTGATAGGTCTATCTCGACATGCCCGCAGACGAGGAGATTGACGACCAGATGCAGGCCTCCGCTGGAATTCTAGATGAAGCTGAGCCCTTGGCTATCTTCGTCAGCCTGAAATGTGGTCGTGTTTTTTTGCTACCTAGTAGTCCGCTTAAAGATGATGTGCCACACTGCCAGTGGACAGTGTGCAGTCTCTGTTTTCGTTTGATGCTGGGCTCTTATTTTTAGTTACGTGGACAATCGCCTTGCATAAATGTTAGTTTATGTTGCGTGATAGGTGGCACCTATCTCTGGAGGTTTGCAGGTTGACGTTCAAGAAACGTTGCTCTCTGGAGGAGTGTCTCTTATACATTCTGGATGTGGAGGGCTGATTTCCATTTCAGGGATGCCGGTTGCCGGAATCAACCGCACTATGTTCAACTGTTTCCTTCTGCAACCTGCGGTTGTGTGTGTAAAGAAATTGCGTGGCATTTCGTGTTGACTTGCTGTTGACCAACGATGTTGGCAGACCACCTGCAATTACCTATGTTGCGTAACTGTTTTATTTTGACTGTTCACTCTGGTTTGGCACTAGCGCGCTAAATCCAAGAACCGCAGGCAGTGTGCGCGATGGTGAGATGATCGAGGATGAGGGTGCAAACAGATCAACCGTGAGGATACAAACCGTTTTCTTTTTTCCCTGCTTCTGTACATATTGCTCGTCTGGTGTTTTGCCTAACCTAGCTTCTGTTTTTGCCATTGCCTGCTTTTTTAAGCGGACCGACGCACGAGAATTTGTTTGCCTTTTAGTTCCTGGTTTGATTCGGCAATTTATTTCCACTCTGCACGCTTACGACCGGTACTGTAGGCAACGGAGAGTCGCACTTAAAAAAAAACAATCTCACCTCACCTGTGACCTCATCCAACTGTACACGCACTGTGCGTGGACGAGAAACGCCAAATGATTTTTTTTTTTTTTTTTTGGAGGTGAAATCACATTATACAATGCAAAAAACACCATCCAGCGGTCGTAACCGGGCTAGAGGGCCTAGGTATAGCATACCGTACCCTCGCGGAAGCCTTTACGGTGGTTTATAAACAAGGTGCCTAAAAATTGCAAACTGCCCGTTATGAAAACCCTTTGCGCCGTTGGCACACTTCAACGCTCGTAGAAGCATCTTGATCTTGATACATTCCCCGCACTGCACTTGTTGCTTCGGTTTTGGTAGACTACCACCGAACCTGCCTTGCCCAAAGTTGTAGGCCCGGGAGACTTCAATGTTGCAGTGCTTGATGCGATGAAGCTCAAGGTGCTGAATGGGAGAGGGGATGCTTGCTTTGGTTGTCACTTCGGTGCAAATGTGGCAAGAGTCGGTTCCAATGGAAGTTATGATCAGACGTCTGTGGTGACACAAGTTGGCTGGAATTTCTCCTCCCAGTTCTCTATGCGAATTCTGATGAAGTGTTGCAGCAGCAGCTATCTCAGATCTGACATTCTCTTCCTGAAAGAACATGCCTTGACGAGAAAAGATAACCCCCACTGACGGGAACTCTTGAGAATCTTCTATCTGCAGATGCGCGTCTTGTTGCTTATTAGTAGTAACACCAACGTCAGCCATGTTTGCATGAGTGTCAGAGTCAGCATTATTGTCAGCGTTGTCACTGGCGCGAACTGTTTCAAGCATGTGAATGGAAGATGCTGCAGGTTTTGCCAGTGTCACGGAGGTGTCTCCTCTGAGGAAAAAATAAGAAAGAAGAATATGTGTAGAGAGCCGCAATGTATCCACGTCTTCTAGATGAGCGTGAAACTCTGGTAGTTTCCTGTCTGAATCTTCATGCTTGAATGTGTAAGGAAGAAAATCTTCTTCGTCGAACACTTGAGTAGCCAACGAATCAATGAATTTGAAATTTTCGTGAAGCAAAGGTTGTTGGTGTGGCTGTCGCTGAATGGCAGAGAACAAAGATAGACGGAAGATGTTCCGTTGATAAACTTGTTTGAATTTGAATCTTCGGTGCTGACTGTGACCAGCAATGCTTTCTCGACGCCGTCTTTGGTTGAGGCTTGAGATCCGTCCAGCCATTAGTATACTCTTCATCGGAACAGCTTTAGCAATGTCTGAAGCTTGAAAGTTTTAACCTGGAAACACGGGAACTTTCAGAAGTGATTCGACGAAACCGATGTTCGCTGTGTGAACATATCTTGGTGTCGATAGTCAGCTTCCTGATACGTAGATCCCGAAACTGTGTTCAGATTAACAAAATGAATTCTATGTCTGTTGAGCAAGGGTCCACAGAAAGTAAACCCGTCAGATTGTTTTCTAGTTTTCGGTCTTGAATTGTCCTAATTCTCAGCCTACCCAAGTACAAAGGGGTCATTCACAATGGTCCACGAACTGGAAGAACATTGCTTCACACGCTTTTCTGTGGCTTAAGGGCTTGAACAAAGCTATCTACCCTCGGTGGTTGCCCCTCGTTTTTGTTCGAATGCCTTTTGCGTGAAATGCGTGAACAACATCTCATCCAATAAAACCCTCGCATATCCACCTACAGAATCACCCGCTTATGCCGTACCGGCCACTTAGCTCGCCCACTCGCTCCTGCGCTCGAGCCCGCCCGTCTGTTGCACAGGGGGGATGGTTCGCGCGGGAGCTTCACCTGGGGACAGTGCTACTGTATCGAGTTTAACCCCCCCTGGCACAGTCCACGTGTCCATGTGACAGCGCCATAAAATCCAGAGCACTTGGCTAACGGTTACACCGTTCTCTAAACCATGCGAAAAATATCGCAAGCAAGCCAACACTGCCAACAACCGAACGACCCCGGGTCTCAGTACTGTACTAATGGCGCGTCACCTCTGACATTCAAGTGGGCTCTTCGAGCAAGCACCGTACTGAACCAAGCTGTTATCTTTTGGAAACGTTTTGTACCGAACGCGATCCCTTGGAAAATCTCGTTCGAACAGCTGGCTACCACCCGATGTGACGCGCCCTAGCCCGTCCCTCCCAAACCAAGACACCCCACCCACCCTTTCTCACTTCACTCCTATTCCGCCATCCATCCTCCACGGCCCGTCGATAGTAGCGCATAATTTAGTAGCACTAGTAGCAAGTAGTAGCAGCGAATAGCAGTTACTGTTAGTAGCACTTGGCATCGACTTGCGTGACTAACGCCAGCGTTTCATATCGAGTAATATGGGTCGCGAGGTGCCTTTTCCTTCCGTGAGTAGAAAAATTAGGTTTTTGAAAGCAAGGCGCGGGCGTTCGCTGGCAGCGAGTAGTAGTAGCCCTTTATCGCCAGTGCTTCTTTTTCTGTCTCATAGGCTGATATACGCGCTCATGGTGTTTTTATTCCTGACGCTATCATGCATTCTATAACTTTATCGTCGCCATGGTCGTTAAATTTGACCACGCCGCCGCTGCTGTGGTTTGCCGCTGCAGGCGGCGTGCTGGTCTCGTCGGCGCCGGCTCCCTGAGTAGAATGTGAGCAAGGCGGTCAAGCAGCGAAGGGTTCGCGCGCCTCGTCGATCAGTAGTGGCTGCCCGTTCCGCGATTTGCGGATACTAGGGTCACAGGTGAAAACAGTCGCCGCGTTTTCCGTCGTGCAACAAAATAACCGATTAGGGTTGCAGAAAACAACTTTCTACGAAAGCAAACACATGCTGCAGCTTCTCACTCCAGCGCCGGGAATCGTTCAATCTCTGAGACAGATCTTATCAATTTGAAACGTTGCCTTGCTTGGACTTGACGGGCCCCCGTTCCCACCTTCCCCCCGCTTATAATGACTCAACGCTTTGCTCCCGTGTTGCTCCAGGCAGCGTGCTGGTCTCGTCGGTTCCTGGAACAGACAGGCGGTGAGAAAGGCGCGCGCGAGCCGGGGTTCGCCTCCCTGGCCGGCCCGTCACCTGCAGACGACTAGGAGAACCCCGCATAGGCTGCCGTCCCGCGTTTCGCCGGAAGGACGGATTTGCGTCGGGTGAAAACAGTTAGTACGTCGTGCAACTGAAGGGCCGCTTTCCTGGAAGCTTCTCGTCATTCCCGCGGCTTCTGCTGCCGGTAGAAGCTATGTCCACGCGTGGAGAATGACGTGGCGGATTGACGTGGCAGACGTGCATGCGCTCCCGGGCCTGCAAGTCGACATTCTCGAATGGCGACGATCTTGCCACTGCGTCTATCCAGGTAGGTATGTGTGTGCTGGCAGGTAGGTATGTGTGTGCTGGCAGGTAGGTATGTGTGTGCTGGCAGGTGGGTATGTGTGTGCTGGCAGGTAGGTATGTGTGTGCTGGCAGGTGGGTATGTGTGTGCTGGCAGGTGGGTATGTGTGTGCTGGCAGGTAGGTATGTGTGTGATGGCAGGTGGGTATGTGTGTGCTGGCAGGTGGGTATGTGTGTGCTGGCAGGTGGGTATGTGTGTGCTGGCAGGTAGGTATGTGTGTGCTGGCAGGTGGGTATGTGTGTGCTGGCAGGTGGGTATGTGTGTGCTGGCAGGTGGGTATGTGTGTGCTGGCAGGTGGGTATGTGTGTGCTGGCAGGTAGGTATGTGTGTGCTGGCAGGTGGGTATGTGTGTGCTGGCAGGTGGGTATGTGTGTGCTGGCAGGTGCCTGCAGGTGGGTATGTGTGTGCTGGCAGGTGGGTATGTGTGTGCTGGCAGGTAGGTATGTGTGTGCTGGCAGGTGTGTATGTGTGTGCTGGCAGGTGTGTATGTGTGTGCTGGCAGGTGTGTATGTGTGTGCTGGCAGGTGGGTATGTGTGTGCTGGCAGGTGCTGGCAGGTGGGTATGTGTGTGCTGGCAGGTGGGTATGTGTGTGCTGGCAGGTGCTGGCAGGTGGGTATGTGTGTGCTGGCAGGTGGGTATGTGTGTGCTGGCAGGTGGGTATGTGTGTGCTGGCAGGTGCTGGCAGGTGGGTATGTGTGTGCTGGCAGGTGGGTATGTGTGTGCTGGCAGCAAGTGGCACCACCACTGCTGCTGCTGCTGCTGGCGGCTCTTATAAGGATCCTCGGGTCAGCTCTTATGGGGGATAGTCCGAGGGGCCTAGCACGGGCCCAGGCCCTACCCAAAGAATTGTCGTCACGTCACACACTTGAACCCAAGTGCTGATTTAGTTAGCAAATGTCATGTTGCTAGTTCATGCCTTGTTCTTGCTGCACGCTTGTGCTTTGTCCCTGTCGGCAGGTCAAGTATGGAGTGGTTGCAGCAAGGGCTCTGCAATCAGACCTCGCCACGTGGCAGCACCTCTACATCAGTGGTCGCCTTCACAAGCCTGTACTGCTGCCTTTCTGTGCGCCCCCCTGCCTTGCCTCTTCCTGTCTGAAACCTCCCCTTTTCCCTCTTCTCCCTCACACCCTCTTTTTTTTTAGCCGCAACCTTTCTTACCCCCTTGCAACTTCTCTTCCCGGCTTGCACCCTCGCTTTTCTTTGTGCAACCCCCCCGTTGCACTCCCTTTTCCACTTATAATTTCCTCACTATTTAAGAGCAAGTGGGATTTGTCAGAACAAGCCTCCAAGTTGGAGGGTTTTGAGAATTTCTAGGACGTTTCGTTTCGTTAACCCTGGTGGTCTTGTTTTCGAACCTCTTAGCGAGGATGCGGAGGAGGAAGGAGGGGAGTGTAGGGGTGGGAGTGAGAGAGAGGATACGGGGGAAGAGGTGGTGGTATGTGAGGATATAGGGGAGTGGGAAGGGACGCAGGAGAGGGGGAGGGTGGGAGTGAGGGAGATAGAGAGAGAAGACGAGGTGGTGTGCGAGGAAGAGGACTGGGAAAACTCGGAGGGGAGTGTGAGTGGAGGAGAGAGTGAGGGAGCGAGTGAGGTAGTGCGTGAGGGGGTGAGAGAGATAGTGCGTTGGGAAGTGAGGGAGGAGGGGGTGGTGGTGTGTGAGGAGGAGTGTGTGGCATGTGAGCTGGCAGTGAAGCAAATGAGAGGTGGAAAATCGTCCACGTGGCACAGATTCACTGGCTTCTGGGCTTCGAAACAAAAGGATCCAGATTCCTCTACCAGCCAGATCAGCACGGGAAACGAGCGGATGACGAAAGAGGAGAAGAATAAAGTAGAACACGGAGTGGGGAGGCGTGGTAAGGGGTGCTTATGGCTGTTACGGAGGGGCAAAGGAAAGAAGCAAGGAAGAGGGAGAGGGTTACCTGAAGAATCACCTGAAGTATCTGAATCACCAGAGGAACAGGACAGCAGCACTCAGTTTGAGTCTGGCAGAAGCAGACAAGAATATGCCGACCCAAATAGCTCTGGCCCGACTGGGGCACCTGGTTTGGGCCGAATCGGAGCAGGAGGCTTGGGGCATGGCGTGGTTGTGGGGGGCTTGAAACGGGTGGGTGAGCGAGAGAGCCTTGAGACTCCTCCTGAGGAGGGGGGGGATTCACAGGGGAGAGATCTGCAGCAGGTGGTTGGGGGAGAGAGAGCGGCGGAGGAAGTGGGAGAGGGATTGGGAGAGGGATTGGGGGTGGGAGAGAGGTTGGAGGAGGGTTTACAAGGGAACTTGATTTCAAACAGTGACGTTCTCATGCAGATGTACCCGGAGCTTCCAGGAAGGTGCGAAGCTGTGGCTAGTCCTGGTTGTCCTGCAGGGGAAGAGGGAAAGGGAGGGGACAGGGGCAGAGGAGGGGGTGTTGGTGGCGATGCTGCTGGTGCCAGCGGTGCTGCTGATGCTGACGTGGCAGCAAGCAGCGGTGCTGGTGATGCTGACATGGCAGCACGAGATCCTGCTGGTCATGCTTCCTCAGCACCGAGAGGTGGTACCGCGGAGCCGCTCCCCTCCAGACCTCCCCGGCTGCTGGCAGTGCTGAGTGTGGACGGAGGGGGAGTGAGGGACGCCATCCCCACGCAGATCTGTGTTCGCCTGGAGGCCATGCTGCAGGAGAGATGCGGCGATCCCCACGTGCGTCTGGCAGACTTCTTCGACCTCTTTGCTGGTGAGCCACCCGGCTTGCTTTCTCTCCCTTAGGCTGATTTCCCTTCCCACGCAGATAAGCGTTCCTCTGGAGGCCATGCTGCAGGAGCGATGTGGGGACCTGGATGTGCGACTGGCGGATTTCTTCGACCTCTTTGCTGGTGAGTCGAGTCAGCTGCCCTGCTCTCTCTCCCCGGCCGAACCTTCGCACTAAATCTCTGTGCAAATTTCTCCCTTCTCTCCCGTCTCTCCCTGATTCCTTCCTCCCTTGGTCTCTCCAGGCACTGGCCGTGGTGGTCTGCTCGCCCTCATGCTCACAGCGCCACACAGGGCAGCGGGGGGGCCGGCCATCAGGGCTCAAAACAAATAAAAGGAGCTGTGCAAGGTCCGTCCCTTCTCTCCCATCTCAGCCTGCTTCCTCCATCCCCTCCAGGCACCAGTAGTGGGGGTCTGCTCGCTCTCATGCTCGCAGCACCTCACAGGGCAACGGGGCAGCCGGCCATCAGGGCTCAGGACACGGATAACAGGGTGTGCAAGTTCCTTCCTTATTCTCGCTCTCATTCCTAATGTCTCTCCTTGCTTCCTCTATCGTTTCCTCCAGGCACCAGTGGTGGGGGTCTGCTTGCGCTCATGCTCACTGCCCCTCACGGGGCAACGGGCCGGCCGGCCATCAGGGCTCAGGACCAAGGAAAGGAGGTGTGCAATGTCATTCCCTGCTCTCTTTCCGTTATCTCCCATCTCGCCCTCCTCCCTCGATTCCCCCAGGCACCAGCGGTGGCGGTCTGCTTGCGCTCATGCTCACAGCCCCACACAGGGCGACGGGGCGGCCAGCCATCAGGGCTCAGATCAGAGTAAGGCTAACTAACAATCTGTGCAATCTCCTTCTGTCTTCGCCTGTTTTCAATCCCCCCAGGCACCAGTGGCGGCGGTCTGCTTGCGCTCATGCTCACAGCCCCACACAGGGCGACGGGGCGGCCAGCCATCAGGGCTCAGGACGTGGCAGACTTTTGGACCCTTCACTCCAAGCACATCTTCCGGCGGCGGTTCTGGCCGCGATGGGCTGCGACACTGCGCAATATATGGCGGCCTAAATACAAGGTGGGTGTGCTTGTAAATGGGGACAAGGGTACCGACCGACCTACAGGGGCAACAGGGCAACAGCGAGTCCAGCAATCAGGGCGTGGCAGACTTCTGGTCGCTGCACTCCAAGTGTGTTTTGAGTCGACTCAAAACACACCTGGATACAATGTCACGCGATGTGTTTACAGGGAGGCGAGCTATTCTGGCATGGAAATTGCCAAAAAGGGTTAGAAGCTTTTTAGTTTCTGCTCGTAAGTGCTAGCGTAGTGTAATTCTGTTACTGTAGAATTTTTTGCTGAGACTTGGGTTTCCCTGCGAGCTCAATAGCGAGCGGGATTCCCTCGAGGGCATTATATAAGCCTCGAGGTCTCATTTGCTTTCTTGTGGTCTGACGAAGGCTTCTACGCCGAAACTAGTTACCACGGATTTTTTCACAAGAAGTTTTTTCTACAAAGAAACACAGGTTTTTACAAGCCTGTTTCATTTTCTTAACAAACTGCTAACAATTCCGAATCTGCAGCCACGCAATGTCTACCACCACCAACAAGTGGTGTTCCTTGGGTCTGACGACACAAAACACTGCGAAGGCCAGTTTCGAGTTTCAAGCAACCCGGGCTACGACCCGTTCTACCCCTAAATTTCAAAATTCCTCCAAGGAATCAATTCCCGAGGCGACTCGACAACCTACAAAAAGGCAGTCTTTCGCCAGAGGGGGACATCAAGTTGTCATTACTGACCGAGAGGACCCAATCCTTTCGACTCCAGTTCATCCTAGCAAGAAACGTATCTGCGAGTCTGCAGAACTTCTTGCTGTGACTGTCCAAGTACACACTATGGCTCCTCAACCGATGACGAAGCGTGTTGATGCTCCGAACCCGGCTGAAGCTGCGACTTTGGTTCACGAAGCCAACGTCACTGTGACCCTGGACAACGACAACATTAACGATGTCGTCATGACTGATTCATTTGATTTCCTTGGAGACGTATCTGACGCTTTTCTGGAAAAGCAGGCTACACCTTCTTGCCTCAATGTTTTTAAATTTCAAGCTGCTGCGGATTTTAAGAAGCATTTTATGAAATACCGGACCCAGATGCAGCAATATCATTTTATGGCTGAGCAGAACAAGAACGGAATCATTCCGCATAGTATTCGTATCAAGCCTTTCTCTTTTGTCTGCAACAACGAAGAGATCAAGCAAGAAGCCGATAAGAGCCTTGTTGATGCCTGCGAAGCATACTGTCATCAAGCTCAAGATGTTATGATCAGTATGAAGAAGAAGTCAGCTGACCGTGCTCTTAATGACGCTTACGCTGTCTTTCCGAAGCTCCAGAACAACCTGACTAATTTCATCAATCTGACGAAGAACTCTGATCTCGGTTCCAAGAATACCAAACTCGTCGACAAGCTGAATTTCTTCAAGAATCGGATCCTGAAAGAGTTCACGGAGACGATGTCGCAGTTCTACCTTGAAGCTGCTGTCGCAGAGACTCACCTGAAGGAGAAAAAGAAGGAGGAGGATGACAGGAAGGCTACTGCTATAACAGAAGCGGAGAACTTACCTGTTGAACCGGCTGTTCGTGAGATCGCGAAGCAGGAAGCTGAGAAGGCTGTGAAGCGGTTCAATCAGCTTCGTCCTGCTGCTCGTCCGAACAACCGTACTCATCCTAAGCGATCGAACAACAACTCTGCTACGAGTGCTCGACAGGATTAAGGGTACCTCGGTGAAGCGTTCTCTCCCGATTAAAACTAACAAATCGGTTCTGGTGCTCAGGAATAACTCTAAGAAGGTCTCTCCTTCCAAGGTCTCTCCTTCTAAGACCGACAAGAAGAAGTTTTCTGACGGATCTTCTGACGCAGTTAAGACCATGGGACGCTCTTTCACTAAGACCGCGAGCCGTAATCCTGGACGCCATCCCAACAGCAAGAAACAGAAACCGAACACTCCAAAAAACGGAGGATCCGGCCACGGAAAAACCAAGCCGCGCTAGCTGCTGACATTCATCAATACGCGCTGATTCTTTTTGGTCGGCGAACGGAGTTTCAGCTACGTAACCGTGTCAGCAACAAAGGGATCCATAACTACAGCAGTCATGTCTTCAATCCTAAAGAGCTAAGTCTACTCGGTCTAGGTCTCACATACATTCCAGTCCCGTGTCTCAGAAGTCTTTCTAGCGTAGAGGTGGAGGTGGATGAGTTCATTCGTAGCATCAGGACAATGTATCTCTTTGACGGTGCTGAATTTCAGACAGAGTATCCTGGGTACAAGCTTCCTAAACGAGATAACTGGAACCCGCCAGAAGCTTCTCCTGAAGTCGAAACGGCACTTGCTGTCTTCAAACAATCGGCTCTGGAAAGCATCGGCAATCAACCCTTTACTACTCTTCACCGAAAAAAGAAGAACTACACACAGATCCTGAAACGGCTTGGACGAAATCCTCATCTCATCTTTAAGCCAGCTGATAAAAACCTCGGACTAGCTGTGATGGACAGGGACTTCTATAAAGAACACTGCTTCAAGCATCTACTTAATCCATCTGTTTATCGGGAGTACTCATCTGTCCCAGTTTCTCGCATCGTCGATGAACTGGAGCAGATTCGTGCAGATTATAAACCTCTGCTCAGCTCCCGTATCTGGAACTCTTTTTTCAATGCGCCCAAAGGAGGCTGGAAAGTCCCAGCGTTTTACATCATCCTGAAAGTGCACAAGAAGGTTCCTGCTGGACGACCCATTGCGGCGTCTCACTCGTGGGTGACTTCAAACGTCTCCCGTTGGTTGGATGCTGTTTTACGACCGCTTGTGCTTGCACAACCAACCTACATCAAAGACTCTCAGAGTTTAATTAAGCACTTGGAGGGGAGGAGGTTCCAGCCCAATCTTTTACTGGCCTCTTACGACGTGGAGTCACTTTACCCGTCTATTCCCCTACTGGATGGGATCGATGCTGTGGATTATTTCCTCCAGAAGGCTAAACATCCTCTGGCTCCACTGATCATTCGCCTGCTGAAGTGGGTGATGTTTAATGGTTTCGTCACCTTTGATAACCGTTTCTTCCTTCAGATCCACGGTACTGCTATGGGCACTTCAGTCGCAGTTTGCTTCGCGGTGCTTTCCATGAGTTACCTGGACAAGAAACTCCATGCTTCCATTCCAAAACCACCCTCTCTTCATCTCCGTTTCATTGACGACGGACTCTTACTGTGGGAAGGATCGAGAGACAGCTTTGACAGCTTAAGTCCAAGTTTGACCATCTCCATCCATCCATTAAACTGACCTGGAACATTTCTGCTCATTCCATGGACTTTCTGGACGTTACTTTCTTTACGGGTAAACGTTTTCAAGAAAAGGGTATCCTGGATTGCAAGCTCTTCCAGAAGCCGATGAACCGGTATCTCTATTTACCGTTCAACTCCTACCATACCAGGAGCACTAAAGTGAGCTTCATTCGTAGCGAACTGAGAAGATTCCTTCTGCGATCCTCCTCGCGCGAAGATTTTTTCAACTCCCGCGCCTTATTTTTCGCAAGACTTCGTGTTCGCGGTTACCCCGAACAGTTTCTTCTCCCCATTTTCAAGAGTGTCAGTTTCTCTGAACGTTCTGAACTTCTACTACGCGCCGATTCTCTTCGCAACTCCTCAAGTCGCGGCCCCCTGGTGATGAAATGTCTGCTCAACCCGTTGGTTGATCGTTCGCGCCTGGGGTCCTTTTTGAGTCGACTCAAAACACACCTGGATACAATGTCACGCGATGTGTTTACAGGGAGGCGAGCTATTCTGGCATGGAAATTGCCAAAAAGGGTTAGAAGCTTTTTAGTTTCTGCTCGTAAGTGCTAGCGTAGTGTAATTCTGTTATTGTAGAATTTTTTGCTGAGACTTGGGTTTCCCTGCGAGCTCAATAGCGAGCGGGATCCCCTCGAGGGCATTATATAAGCCTCGAGGTCTCATTTGCTTTCTTGTGGTCTGACGAAGGCTTATACGCCGAAACTAGTTACCACGGATTTTTTCACAAGAAGTTTTTTCTACAAAGAAACACAGGTTTTTACAAGCCTGTTTCATTTTCATAACAAACTGCTAACAATTCCGAATCTGCAGCCACGCAATGTCTACCACCACCAATAAGTGGTGTTCCTTGGGTCCAGCAATCAGGGCGTGGCAGACTTCTGGTCGCTGCACTCCAAGCAGAATTTCAGGAGGCGGTTCCGGCCTTGATGGGCTGCCACACTGAGGAACATATGGCGCCCTAAATACAAGGTGAGCATACTCTCCAGCTCATCCCACAAGGCGACAGGGGTACCCGACCGGGCAGTCATGAGGGCACTGGTAGGACGTGGCTGCCTTCTGGTCGCTGCACTCCAAGCACACCCTCAGGAGGAGATTCTGGCCGCGATGGGCTGCCACACTCAGGTACATATGGCGGCCCAAGTACCACTTTAAACCCACTGTCACTGTACCACTCTTCCCCGCTTTGCTCTCAGGGCAGCAGTGGGGCTCTTCGCAGCTACTTCATTGCACCCAACTTCACCACTCTGCGCCCCCTCTCACCCTCCTCCCTCCTCCCTCCTCCCTCGTCAGGTGAAGGTCCTGGAGCAACTTCTGCGTCATTTCCTCAGGCAGCTCTGTGGCACTTCTCAGCTACCTCACTGCACCGTTGTGTACCCGCTCTTCCCCCGTCATTATCAGGTGGAGGTCTTGGAGCAGCTTCTGCGTCATTTCCTCAGGCAGCACTGTGGCGCGGCGGACCTCTGCCTATCAGAGGCCGTCAAGCCGCTCCTGCTGACGTCATATGACATCAGCACCGCCCGGCCGTACTTCTTCCTCAGCCTGAGGGCTTTTTCTGACTCGAGCCACGACTTCCCCCTTATCCAGGTGAGTTGTGAGGGCGAGTTGGGTGGCGAGCTGTGATGGTGGCCTGTGCGGTACTACTACTATCAGGTCATTCATTAGGCTCTGTAGTTGGCTCCGCCCATACTTCTTCCTCAGCCTGAGGGCTTCTTCTGACTCGAGCCACGACTTCCCGCTCATCCAGGTGGGTTATCATGCTGGCATGTTATGAGCTCTTGCCGTTACAGGGCCTTTATGGTGCTAATCGGTCATTAGGCTGTGTGATTGGTTCTGGCCGTACTTGTTCCTTCCTCAGCCTGAGGGCTTTGACCGACCCGAGCCACAACTTCCCTCTTATCCAGCTTGGCTGTGAAGGCTTATGCATTACTGTGGGCCGATTGGAAAATTGGGCTGTGTGAAAAGACTGGCCCGTCTCCTCCTCTCAGTCTGAGGGCTTTGCCCGACTCGAGCCACAACTTCCCCCTTATTCAGGCGAGTTGTGAACTAAAGTAGTCATTTCATTATCATGTTTACCCAACGATTCAATCTGAGAATCCCAGTGAAGCTTCTGGATTAACTGTGGGTGGAAATTTGCCCACAAGGAGTTGCAGCTAAGCTCCAAATCTATTAAACATCAGCCAGCCGCGTTTAAGCTTCACCCTATGTGTGCCATTTCATTTCCGAGTTCTGTTAGTACCTCTGATACTTCTCTTCCCTTGCTTCCATGAATTCATGCGCCAGAGCTATCTTGGTCTAGCACTTCAGCGATTTTACAGTCTTGAAGCGTCGCCTTAAAAGGTTTTGATGCACTTTTGGCCCGACCAGGCATGCAAAGCCACGTCAGCAGCTCCCAGCGTGAGACTGTGGGGTGGGGGCACAGCGATTTATGGCTCTCTTACTGCACTCTGGCTTAACCATTCCGCCAATGCAGGCCTGCAGAGCCACGTCAGCAGCTCCCAGCATCTTCATGCCGGCTCTCGTTCGATCGGTGGATGGGCGGAGGGAGATGGTGTGCGTGGATGGGGGCATGGTCGCCAACAACCCTGTGAGCTTGGGGGCATGGTGGTTAGTACCCCTGTGAGTGGGCCGGTGGTTTATGGTGGCATAGTGGAATGGCGGTGTGATCATATCTGTCAGCTCCACTCACCACTTCTCTGCCGCTCCCCCATCCTCTCCCTACCGCATTGTATGTTGCTTCAAGCTTCTCAAACAATTTCTCGTTTGTGATCCTCATTTTCAGTCTTTACTGTTCTTTCTATGCTTTTTTCTAGTCTCTTAAGATGCCCTTTCTATGACCCATTACAGATGGTTCTGATGGGGTGTGGCATGGCCTGTATTTTGCAGACTGTAGCAGCGTTCCTTCACATCGTTGCCAACCCGTCCACCTTCAAACCTCCTGGAGAAAACAACGAAAATGGTGCACACAACGGGGCAAGCACCAGTGCAAGCAATGGTGCGAGCGGCAGTACAAGCAGCACTGCAAAAAACGCTCCAAGCAACAATGCAGACACTAACGAGGATGGGGAAACGGGAGGTGGGGAAATCAAGGCATCAGCAACAGCACCTGTTTCTGCACTTCACGCCTCGTCTTCGGCACCTGCCGCTGATGCAGATTGGCTTTCACAGGCAACAGCAGCAGCGGGCACGAGTGCAGGGAATTCGCGAGGAGAGATCTCACCTGCAGCAGCAATGGCTGGTGCAGCGTCTGCTGATGCGAGCTGTTTGCTGGCTGGAGACGTGCAAGAGGCAGCAGATCTGAGTGCGAGCCCGCTTCTTCATGATGCTGAGAAAGGAAAGGGAGGAGCAGAGAGAGAAGGAGAAAGAGGGGAAGCAGCGGGCAGCAGTGAGTCGTGTGAGGAGCCTCTGTCTCGAGCTCGGCTGACATTCCGAGATGTGGTGGTGCTGTCTCTGGGAGCAGGCGAGCACATGCGGCGATACTCTATTGATGAGGTGAAGAAGTGAGTGTGGGTTGGTGCTTGGTATAGGGAAGAGGGCTGCGAATGGTGTGCAGAATCCATGATGGATGTGATGGTGTGGGGCGGCTACCTAGTCACTCCCGCATTACCCTCACTGTTACACACGCACCATTCACGCCCTCATGTGTTCATCCACCCATGCCTTGCATTCCCAGGTGTGATGGTGTGGGGCGGCTACCTATTCACTTCTCACTGAGGGACATACCATACCGCTCATACTCATCCTCTCCTGTGTGCACCCATGCCTTGTGTTTGGCATTGTCATTGCTTTCCTTCTTTGCAGGTGGGGACTGATTGGGTGGGCAGAGCCGATGGTGGATGTGATGGTGTGGGGAGGAGGCAACATGGTGCATGCTCAGATGTGCCTGCTGGCTCTGGCAGATGGGGCCATAGACAACTACACTCGCATTGAGGTGAGTGTGGGGTGAGGTAAGTGGGGCGTGCCTGGGGGGTCTCTGTGGCTAGTGCCTTTGACGCGCCTCACGGGGGAGGCAACATTGTGCATGCTCAGATGTGCCTGCTGGCTCTGGCAGATGGGGCCATAGACAACTACACTCGCATTGAGGTGAGTGTGGGGTGAGGTAAGTGGGGCGTGCCTGGGGGGTCTCTGTGGCTAGTGCCTTTGACGCGCCTCACGGGGGAGGCAACATTGTGCATGCTCAGATCTGCCTTCTTTCTCTGGCGGATGGGGCAATAGACAGCTACACACGCATTGAGGTGAATGGAGTGAGCATTGAGCAGTGGAGTGGGAAGCTCATCCGAGGTGCCCCACAGGGCAGCATGGTGCATGCGGAAATCGCACGCATGTCCTGCCAGTTGGCTGCTCCCATCAACATGGGAGGTGTGCCAGCTGCCTGGCGTTTTCCCACTCTTTGTAGTACCCTGCCTTCGCATGTATGTATCTGCTCCTCTCGTTCTCTCTCCCTGCTCCCACCCACAACACACCCACACGTACACGCATCCACCCACCCATCCCGCTGTCAGGTGCAATCCCTGCCGTCCATCTCGACCAGGATGGACAACACATCACGGAGGAACATCCAGCTGCTGCAGCGAGTGGCAGAGGACGCTCTTAAAGCCCACGGCAACGTCGTCCCCTCGCTGGCGGGGGAGGTCTGCCAGCTGGCGCCCACCAATGAGGAGCGCCTCGCTGCGCTGGCGGATAGGCTCGTGGCGGAGTACAGGTGGCGGCGTGGGATTGGAGGCTGAGCCATGATTGACTCGCTCCTGTTGAGTAGTGTAAAGGCTGCACATGTGCTGGGATGTGTTGCTTCACCTGGGGCTCGACATTTCTGGTGACCCTTTTTTGTTCCCACGCTGGTACCTTGTACGGTATGTTGGGGTGTAGTGTAGAGTGCTGCTGCCTGCACTTATGTGCATCTTCTCAAGCTGCTGAGCATTCGCCAGCCATTTCATTCCAGCCCTCCAACCACACTACAGTCTCTGCCCTGCAGCTACCCACTTGCTCTGCAATCATGCTGCTGCCAGAGTCTGCTCTGCATCCGGCCTTGCCTGACACTGGATGGTCTCGCCTGCTCTGGGTGCACTGTAGACGGAGGCCTTGCTCCTATTGAACATGTACCGTACATCAATGGGAGAGCGAGAGCTTTGCATGCTGCTGGTGGGGAAAGGCTAGAGAAAGTGGTAAATAAGAACGTACCGTACCATGTGCATGTAAATAAGATGAGGGGAATAAAGTGTTATTACACCAGCTCTTTGTGAAGTGCGAAGAACACACAAGCATGCTGGAACACAATGTTGGCATGGATGTTTGTGTGATAAACTCATAAATGTACATTTCTGCATACAGGTGTACTCTGTAAAGGTCTCTGGCATATTCCTGTCTGTCGACCGATATGATTGCGCCAGTGAAACTTACAGGCAGGAAAAACAGCAATGTTGGTAGTACTGGCACCGTACAGAGGAAAGGCAGAAACATAGGGATGAATTCAGCAAACTAGCAAACCAGCCAAGAGGAAATGAATTCAGTGATCCAGCTGGTTCAGACAGGTACACCTCGTACCAAATACACCATAAAGTCTGACCTCCACACTACTTTTCCCCACCTCCCATCATTCACTCATAACAAACACACACGCACGACTGAGCGCCCTGCTAGTCCTCTTAGTAACCTTCCCTTGTTCCACCTTCACCTGCACCACCCTGGGGAAGCTTCTCAAAAGCCCGTCAACACCAGCAGCAGAGACATTCTTGCATGACAGCATGCTCAGGGAGGAGAGGAACGGCAGCTTCACCCCAGCTATAACTCCATCAGAAAAGTCCTTGTTCCTGTCCATCGTCAGGTGGAGTAAGCCCTGACAAGCATTGAGCAGAGCAGCCAAGTCGTCTTCGTCAAGGCCGGAGCAGCCTTCAAGAGAGAGCCTCTGTAGTCCTTCAAAGGCAGCAGCATATATGATAGAATGGACTGACTTGTAGAGTTTGAGGGAAGAAGTGACTGATGGAGTGTTTGAGGAGGATGAAGAGGAGGCATCAGGGAAGGACGAGTTGGGCTGTTGATGAAAGGCTTCCTGCAGCCAGGCTGGTTCTGTAGACGGGGTGAACTGGAAGCCATTTAGGGTCAAAGATCGAAGCAGAGGACCTGCGAAATTAACTGCTACAGCTTCACCTGGGTTACTTATTCCATGTGCTTCCACTCTCAGACTGCCGGACAGATCAAAATCAGGAGATGTGGGCCCTGGAACCAGGACCGGAGCCGGATCGCGAAGAGCTTGGTCTACTGCCTCAAGCTGCCTTGACATTGCTCTCATAGACACGAGGATGGCTTCAAAATTTCCTTCCGGATCCGAACCAGTAGCGTCATTTCCATCCACTAAAGGCCATCCTGGTCCCTCTTCAGCTGCTGATCCTTGCCTTAATACTGAACCGGCTGCTGCTGTTCCCACTGGTACTGCCATTGATTCCGCTGCTCTCACTGCTTCTCCAGGCCTCACAATAAAGGCTGAGGAGTCTTCAGCATATGAGATAATTCTCTTTACTGTCTCCTCGCCCTCTAAGGCAGCAACAGCCTCAGCACGGACCTGCTTTACGAGATTACATGCAGAGATCTTCATGCTAAAATGAGCAGCTGTAGAATGCGCTTCACCAATTGAACCTGTCACCCCTCCATTCTCTAACACGTGAATGGAGTCCAGCAGATCCTGTCGTAGCGACCCGTGAAAACGTGAACATTCACCATGCAATTCATGCCACTGCTTCAAAGCCAAGACTGTGTTTTGACGAGCAGCAGCAGCGGCTACACGGACCAAATGGCCTCTCCTTCCCCATATCAAGGCCTTATTGACCACCTTGCTGCATCTCGCTCCCCTCTGCCTTGCACCTTCCCCATTTCCAGCCTTCTCCTGCCTCATACTGTTCCCTCCATCTGTGCTTGCTTTCTCCACCCGCAGCAGCATACCAGCCAAGCTTTCTAAAGATCCGCTTCCATTATTGATGGAGAGACTCTGCAGACTGCTGCAGTCTGCAATCAAACTGGGATGAAGTACAAGTCCTCTAGATAGGTTAAGTGTAGAAAGCTGACGACAGCAAGCAAGCAAGGCCTTGAACCGTGATGGACTGAATAGGAGACATGAGCCTTCTTGCAAAGAGAGGGTTGTGAGATTGGGGTTGCTCTCAACAACTGCTGCAACACCTGAGCTTGAAATCAGGAAGCACTCCTGCAGTGTCAATTGTGTGAGGCAGTGAAGAGAGCAAGCAATAACTTGCATATCATCGACATCCAGCCGCATGCATGAATCAAAGGAAAGTGATGAAAGGTTGGAAAAGGAAGCGAGATATGATAAAGAGCGCGTGAGAAGTGCTCTATGGAGAGTGAGAGACCGTAAGGAGGGAAGAGGGGAGGAGGACGCAAGTTTGGAGAGTTGGAGATCGTTGACGTTCCAGAGGGCGAGGGAAGACAGGGAGGAGCAGAGACCGAGGGAGGGAATGTGTGAGGAAAGTCCGTCAAGGTCAAGCGAGAGGGATTCTAATGAGCGAAATATGTCAAATGGAGGGTAAGTGGCAGGTGGTGATGTAAAATAAACTCCCAAGGTTGACAGAAGCCTGCGTGGACAAATGAATAATTTCAGCCAGGAAAAAGTAGCTAGATTGGAAACAGCTAAACAGGCGGAATTGGGATGAAAAGGGTGAAGCAACAAAAGAGCCAATCTTGTACTCACCTGCATCCTTCACCCAGCTTCCTCCAGACACTCTCTTCCAAGTAGTCAAGGCCATATGTTCGTAAACTCTCCAATTTGGGACAAGTAGAGGCAATGGTCGACAAAAGACATGCAATGTCTTCTAGATTGATGGAGCATTTCTGACTTCTTGAATCCAGCGAAAAGGATTCTCCAGAGATGACCAGACTTGTAACGCAAGTGTACCCGGCGTTAAACAAGCGAGTCAATCGTTCTACGAGCTCCAACGGGGAACTATGAATGGTTAGAAAGAGTGAAAGTCGTGCTTGCTTTATCAGGTGGTGAAAGCGCGAGCAAGTGAGAGCGAGATTGAGCCGATCCGAACGTCTTGAAAGACACTGAAATATGACTGTGAGGATCTCGTCTGGAAGCGACAAAATCCGAAAGCCCGTTGTCTGCTTCATGGTGATTTTCCGATGAAGCTCGAGTCCTGGATAATACAAGCAAGCAGCAATATCTTAATGAAGTTGCCGATCAAAATGATCCGATCCGAATCATGATGGTGAACAAGAGCAGACTTTACTACGGCATGTTCTTTCTTACCTCACCTTTAACTCTCTTCATTCCCACGAGGTGCCTTGTTTAGTTGACAATCTGACGGTGGCAATGCGCTTTTGCAGCATAACAGATGGAGTATCTGACTTAATCGTCACGGAGCTCTAGCATACCCTTTCCATAAAGAACTAACCATCCCTAATGGGCTGAAACTAAGAAAAGCATTCGCCGAACCCAGGTCACGCGCTACCCATGTTGCGCTGACTGCACGGGAGGGTACTACCCAGGAGTTCACGCTGAATGCATCCCAATCTCACTTTCAAGTCATCTAGGCGGGGGAGGAGTTGAAACGAAATGGATGCTACTACTTTTCATATGGGTTGTAGCTGGTTTAGTATGGTAATACAGGGTGGTGCGGTACGGCCACATCAATGAGAGAACAGTGCACTTCTTTTCGGTTGGGCTCTTGTGAAGCGAAGAGAAACAAAATGTGGTAGGCCTTGCGAAATGTGGTCCCTCGCCAGTCGCAAGTTACAAGATCGCTCGATTCGTGCGAAAACCTACCCAATTATATACACACGGGTGACGTCATCACATGCACAAATGGAATTGAGGCAAAACAAAAAACCCGCGGAATCCCTCCGGGCCCCCGAAAATTCCCGGCTGACCAGGCCAAAAAACCCTCCGAAACTCGCGGGTTCAATGTCGTATTCTTATGCCAATATATATGTCAGCCGAACTATTGCAATTTCGGGGACATTTGTCGAACAGTGCTCGACGGACATTGGCCAATCGCCGTCGAGCACCGTGCACCCCCGACAACGCGTGTTACACCCGGTGGCAAGTCGCTAGGGAATCGCCCACACGGTGGCGCTGACGGTCGACGGTTGCGAAATACCGACGGTCGCAATCGACGGAGACGTCAACTGCGGCCGACCTGTCGCCTCGTCGGTCGAGCGAACTGTCGCTGTCGGATGGGCGACGGGTTACGTCTGTCGCAGTCAAACGTTCACGTCAACTGCTGACATGTCTCAGTCTCCACGGGGAGCAACATCAGCCCAAGGTCGCTGTATAAACCTGAATTCATAATAGAAGCACCACAGTTTTCTCAGCAGGCCAGGATTTAGGGAGAAATGCTAGCTTTCGGTGGGCACTGATGGAGACCGATCCGTCGACGACAACGCCTTCCCGGCAGGCGGTGTCAAATTACAATGTTGTGTACGCTATAGTGGGGTAGCCCATATGGGGTACACATTGCTAGGGTTGCATATTTGTATCACTTCCATTCATAGTTCATCCATTTCTCGTTCTACTCTCCTCATGGTATCGAGCAGGTCCCCGTGGGAACTGTGCCTAGGGCCCACCACATCGAGATTTATTTTTTCCTGCCCGAAGTGCGCTCTGCCCGAGTCGTGCTCCGGGCTCTCACCTCGTCGAGCCGCCCTAGCGGCCCCTACGCCCTAGCGGCCCTATCGCCCTAGCGCCCCCCCCCCCCCCCCCCCCCCCCCCCCTCCCTTGGCG